CAGATAACATAATTTGATCAATTTCATTCCCAGGTACTTTCCCTTGAGCTCCCCTTCTCCATGACCCCCTGGTCTCTCTTCTATTTTCAAGAGATCTTTTTTTTTTTTTTCCCCCTAGCTTCTACATATGAAAACATATGACCTTTGACTCTCTGAGCCTGGCTTATTTTGCTTAACATTATGCTCTCTAGTTCCATTCATTTTCCTAGAAATGACAATTTCATTTTTCTTTATGATTGAATAAAAAACTCCATTGTGTATATATATTCACATTTGTTTTCTCCATTCATCTGTTGACAGACACTTAGGCTGGTTCCCTGACTTGGCTATCATGAGTTGCACTGCTTTAAACAGGGGTATGCGTGTATCTTTGTCCTATGCTGACTTCCTTAGGATAAATACCAAGAGTGCTATAGCTCAGTCATATGGTGGTTCTGTCACCAGGGGAAAAAATATCTCTGGAATAGGGTTATTAGAAATTCTCAAAGAAGGGGCTACTCAACTCAGGACAAGCAGGGTCCTTGACCTATGCCATAGAAAAGAATTTCAACATGGCATCAGTATAGGCACAGAATTTTATTTAGGAAAGCAAGGAATACACGCTCAAGGGAGAAGGTGGGCCATATTGAGAGTGAGAGAAGTGTTTGGGGATAAAGAAAGAAATAGACTTTCAAATTTTGAAAGTGAGAAGCTTTGGGGGTAATGTGAGCAATATACATATTCAAGGAAGAATTTGGCCATCTCCAGAGGGAGAGACAGTAACCTCTTAGTCTGTGGTGCTATTTATAGAGGGGTAGTAGCTAGGGGCTGAATTAATGGTAGAGGCAGAGATAAGTTGCACAATTTTGTATTAGTTTTTCTAGCACTTGTACATTGCCTTCATGTTACTTTTTGCAGGCAAATTTATGGGGTCAAGGGTGTGGTCTGAATTTTTTGCTTTGTATTCCAGAGGTTTCTAAGTGTTTTCTTGTATTCCAAAGGTTCATAGGCTCTTCTCTTTTGAGACTCAGTATATTTTTATTTTTCTGTATTACTAAATTCCTATCTCATTTCCAATCCTAGTCTTTTGAGGAATCTCCAAACTGATTTTCATAGTGGTTATATAATTTACATTCTCTGTGTAACTGTGTCTGTGCCCTTCCCTGACTTCCTTGCCATTGCTGGGCAGTCTTGTCCTGGCATGCCCAGCTACCTCTTCAGACTAGATGGTCAGAAACTGAGGCAGAAGAAACTGGAAGTGCTAGTTTGCAAAAGACAGTGGAATATTGCTGAACAGTATTTCAAATTCTCATCACTTTACATTTTTATAGCAGCACAATTCATAATAGCTAAACTATGGAACCAGCCTAGGTGTTCATCAGTGGATGAAAGGATAAAAAAGAATGTGGTATATATGCACATTGGAGTTTTATTCAGCTATAAAGAAAAATGAAACTTCATTTCTAGGAAAATGGATGGAACTAGAGACAGTTATGTTAAGTGAAATAAGTTAAACTCAGAAAGTCAAGGTTGTATGTTTTCTCTCATATGCAAGAGGAAAATGGAAAAGAAAGATGGGATTTTTCTCATGAAAATCAAAGGGAGATCAGTAGAGGACAGGGACCAAAGAGTGGAAGGGAGGGAGGGAGGGAGGGGGTATGTGCTGGGGAGCAATATTGGCCAAATTATATTGTTATATTTTGTACATGTACAAATATATAGCAACAGAACCCATTGTGTGCAACTATAATGCATCAATAAAATAGGTGTGGAAAAAATTTCCATCACTTCACACTTGTGTAGCTACAACTTAATTATCTCTCTACTTCTAATCTTTTGTTTGTTTTTTTAAATTAGGTATATATGGCAGCAGAATGCATTTTAATTCATTGTACACAACTACAGCACAACTTTACATTTCTATGGTTGTACATGATGTAGCGTCACAACATATGTGCTGTCATAAATGTACCTAGGGTAACAATGTCCATCTCATTCTACCATCTTTCCTGCCCCCATGCACCCTCCCTACCTCTCCCTTCCCTTTGCCCAGTCAAATTTCCTCTATTTTTCCCATGCCTCCCCACTTCATGTTATGGATCAACATCAACTTAACAGAGAGAACACTGGACCTTTGGTTTTTGGGATTGRCTTACTTTGCTTAGCATGATATTCTCCAACTCCATCCATTTACCTATAAATGCCATGATTTTATTCTCTTTTAATGCTGAGTAATATTCCATTGTATATGTATATACCAAAGTTTCTTTATCCATTCATCTATTGAAGGGCATCTAGGTTGTTTTCATAGTTTAGCTATTGTGAATTAAGCTGCTATGAACATTGATATGGCTGTGTTACTATAGTATGCTGATTTTAAGTCCTTTGGGTATATGCTGAGGAGTGGGACAGCTGGGTCAAAGGGTGGTTCCATTCCAAGTTTTCTGAGAAATCTCCATGCTACTTTCCTGATTGGTTGCACCAATTTGCAGTTGTACCAGCAGTGTATGAGTGTGCCTTTTCCCCCACATCCTCTCCAACATTTATTGTTGCTTGTATCCTTGTTAATTGCCATTTTGACTGGCATGAGATGAATGATTTGCATTTCTCTAATTACTAGAGATGTTGAACATTTTTTCATATATTTGTTGTTCAAATGTATATCTTCTGAGAAGTGTCTGTTTAGCTCCTTAGCCCATTTATTTATTTAATTTATTAATTTTTTAAAATATTTATTTTTTAGTTTTAGGCAGATACAATATCTTTTTTTAAAATTTTTTATGTGGTGCTGAGGATTGAACCCAGTGCCTCACAGGTGCTAAGCAAGCACTTTACCACTTGAGCCATAACCCCAGCTCYAAGCCCATTTATTGATTGGGTTATTTGTTTTGTTTTTTGTTTTTTTGATGTTAGGTTTTTGAG